GGTGATTTTCTTACAATCTTCAATCGTCGCAGCCATAGGTTTTTCCAATAATATATTATATTTCAAATCAGCAAAGGCTACTGTTGGCTCCGCGTGAAGGTCATCCAATGTCGCGATTACAACAGCATCAGCTAATTTCGATCTTTTCGCTAGCTGGTATAATTTGCGTAAATCACATAAGAATTCGTGTACTTTAAACTCTATTAATATCGCTTACCTCCTTCCAATCGGAGAACACGTTCTCATCCGGAATGTCGTATTGCTAAGCATATATGGACGGTCATTTGTTTAGTCTTCATCCTATCGATAATTATCAGCAATGAAACGAGTTACGTTGATCAATATAATACCGACTTTTTGCATCTTTCGTCTGCGAACTTCGACAGGCTCGGCGACGGCAACCACTTTTGCCCATTGTGGATCGATTTTAGCGTAGGAAGCATATCCCGACCCTCTACGCCACATCATGTGAACAACAAAATCTTATTAAATTACTATACAATAATGGATCAGATAATTATCCACCAGAATACCTTTGACCAGCACCGACGATGGCGATGGTTACAGGCTCGGGGGGCACTGGCGGAGGAGGAATTCTCGTCGCTCTTAATTTACTCGCAACCGATTTTACATTCTCTTGGACTTTGTCCACAACCGGAACATGTGGTTCTCTCTTAATAAATGCGTTCTTCCAAGACATCATGAGTTTGTGCTGATTGTGAGTATATGTTGGTAGGCAAGAAATTCTCTTAACATAAAAAAAAGAGAGAGAATGAAACCCACACGTAAGTCGAATGATTTAAATAATTCCAGGAATTCTGCGCATTTTGTGCTGTACAACCGAAAAGTTGACAAAGAATTTTGGAAACCAAATAATGGAGCTATGGTTATCACGTGCAAATATTGATTATGATTGCCTTATACGGTATAGCTTTCATACCATGACATCACTTGGGTCTTAATACAGTATAAAGCTAATTACAGTAAATAGAAAATCTAGAAACAACTGAGATAAATAATTATCTATATTGTTTAAGAAATTAAAAATCACTGAATAGTACAAAGAACTATCTATTCCTATTTACATCTCATTCAACTAGAATAAGATAATTTGAGTAACAAGATATATCTTATGTTATATATAGATATATAATATGAAGTTTTTTAAAAAGGTTACTTAAGAATATTATAAAAAAACTCTTTCTGCTGATCCCCAGTTTTCCTAAAAATTTCCTTTTTTGGTAATTTTCTTGGAAAACAAAAGAAACCAGCTACAATACAAAAAGAAACTTTTAATAAAAACTAGCAAAACAACAAGAAATAACTATATAGGACCAGTCCTTAAGGCATCTAATTTTCCGGCAACAAG